CGTAGTTGCCGACAAGGCATCGCTTGAGATCAAGGTTCGGTTCTTGACCGCGAAGTAGGAGGGCGTAAAATCGCCAATCAAGAAAAAATTCCCTCCATCCGGGCCCTAACGGAAGACTTCAGCGTTGAACACTGTTTATTAGCTAGTGACATCACTTGTTACTGTTACTAGCCGTGTGAAACGCAACTCCAGTAACAGTACCAACCGCTAGTTACCAAATCTAAAATGCACTAGAAATCACTATTACTGGACTTGTACTGTTCCCTGGCGGAACACACCCCCTATCTATAAAAGGTACACCAAAATTAAGTTGGGCGAGAGTAAGATTGGCTAACTTCATGCGTAAGACTTTTCACTCGTAACCCTATTTCTCATTGGTCAATTGGCTACGTCATCATCAACACCACGGAATCAAATGGCGCGCGGAGCGCGCGTTCGGTCTCGTAATAGCTCTATTTGTATTACCGATACGAGTGTCAAGAGTTGCTTGTATGAGTGTTTAGAATATTATATTATAAATCTCTGATTATATCACTGCTTTTCACGTTGAAAAACATTAAAATGAACGGTACCAACCAAGATTAAAAGTTTATCAGCGTACTTGTGAATTCAATAATTAGAAATACGTTCAAACGTAGCGATACACGACCATGGGGCACCACGTGTGCACGATTTAGGTTATGATCAGGTAAACATTTGCTTACATTTCTGTAGGATATTTCGGATTCTAACCATATTGGAAATCTTTAGAGATTTCCTTCTTCTCCTAGAAGTACCAAAATAATTCAAGAGGTTCATGAAGTTTTTGAACGTGTTCCGATATCTCTTATTTTTGGAGACTCGGAAAATCTCCCAGAACATGCTAGAAACTTCTCCAACCGTTTTCAGTTTTACAAAAACCCTTAATACATTTTGAAGTAGCAAAAAATGGAATTCTTACAAACTTTACCGAGTTTTTCCGATTTTATTCAAATTCCTAGAAATGTCTTGAATTTTATTAGAAATTCTAAGAGCTGAAAACCCCTTTTTCAAAATTTCTAAAATTTTCATACATTTTTAAAATTTTCAGACGTTGCTTCAGCACTTCTCAAATCATTAGGAGACCGGACAATTTCCTAGGAAATCTAAATTCTTCTTGAATTTAGATTTCCCTTCAGCACTTCTCAAATCATTAGGAGACCAGACAATTTCCTAAGAAATCTAAATTCTTCTTAAATTTCTTCATAATAACCCGGATCTCTCGAATTTATGCTGAAAATTCTAGAAATGTTGAAACATTTTGAGTTTCCTAATTCTTAAGAATTCTTGCTAATGAGAATTCAAGAACTAGTCAGCTTTCGACATTTTCGACAGTTCCATGACTCCCTCCAAAAGTGGCAAGTTCTGTTAATACCCCGCGATTTTTAACAGACGGAAATATTTTCTGGAAATTTTAGCAAAAAAGAAAAAAGCCTCTCAAGTCATACGAGGTTTCTAGAAGGTATGAAAATTCCTTGGCAATTTCTAAAAGTAGCTTTCACTGTGAATTCTTTGAAAATTTCCGCAAATTTTTAGAGGCTCTCTGAATCCTCAGAATTAGCCTAAGGAATTAATCTAGGAGTTCTCTAAAGGGCAAGAGAAGTTTCTCAAATTTCGTGGAAAGTTGATAAATTCCTGGCAGATCTCGACGAGTTCCTCTCATACCCGTAAATTGTTTGGAAACTAAAAATTGCCGGCAATTTCTCAAATTTTTCTAGTCTTCAGAATTTATGAAAGAATTCCAAAGTTAACAAGAATGGTTGATTTGATCCAAGATCCAAATGTCTGTTTTCATCGGAAAGAAATTTAAAAAATTTTATTTGTTAAAAGTTATATAATTTTTCAATATTTCGCAAGAATTCCAACAAACGAAAAGTTCACATAATTCCTTCTTTAATCTTTTCCAGATTAGTGGTGAGCATATCTGCAGTGCTCTCTCAACGACCATGAATAAAGTGGTGATAATCGAGAAGTGAAAGAAAATGAGCCACATGAAAAAAAGACGAGCTTGATAATGATAATAGAGAGTACACAGCTGTAGTAATTCTTCTCTAGAAAAATCAACTTCACGTAGTAGACGCTAGAGATTCTATATGTATTCTTAGTTAGCCCATGACCACGGACCTGATTCTTGATTAGAAACCGGGGCATCAACCAGAGACGCTAAGAATCCCCAAAGAGTGCACTTGTCCTAGGGAAGGGTCCAGAAGGAGCTGAATCTGTTCGCAGCACTTGCAGATCATTTCCTTCAAGCAGAATGTCTATAGTTCTGAGCTAAAGAGTTGACGATTTCGACAATGTTAGGCATCAATGACTCTAGAAGATATGAAATAACATCTGAAAAAGTATTTTAAAAAACCCAGATGTCATGAAATTTGGTAAGGAAAGCAGATGATTAAAAATACTATTCGCTAATTTGTTAGATTTTTTTTAGATTATTGGAATTGTTCAAACTATTTGGGATTTCTTGGAGAACACGAGGACGTTTGATTTCTTTTGTAGAAAATTTGGATGACCACCGTTCTATAAAACTTCCGGAGCATTCATCGTGGATTTATTTAGGACTATACGGAAGTTTTGCGAATTTTCAAAGAAATTTGGGCAATCTCGTCAATTTTTCTATAACACTTCAACAATGTTGTCGAAGAATATGAAGAAGTTTTTTAGATTTTGAAGGTTTCGGAAATTTATTGAAATTTTTCAGAGGCTTTTAATATTTTTGATAGCATTGACCTAAGAAATTTTTTAAGGTTTTTTGTAAAAATCAACAACTTTTGACAAATTTGCTGCGCTCAACATTTTTTGAGGAAATGCAAAAAGAAATAGAGCACTTTTGACTCTAAATTTCATCTTTTTCTATCTCCCGAGGGGTTTCCGTTTTTTTTTTTAGACATTCTGCAGAAATAAGGCAACAGATCGAGGTCTGACATGCACGCTTTACGATTTCCCAACATCTTTGGAATTAAGTCGATGCAGTTTTTAATTGCCTCTTTCCACTGTAGTCGAATTCAGAGTCGCGGAGCTGGTTGCTTACGACGCTCAATAGGATCACTTCGTAGGATATTGTCGTGGTCATAGTGGAAAATAGGAGATTGCTCAATAAAGTCCAACCATTCAAAGTAAATCCAAAAATCAGACCAGAGTGTGCTCTTTACTTGTTTAATGGAGATGAGCAGTGATTTTGAAGCTAGATTACGCTTCAATTGTCTGTCGTAAAAGGTGTTATTTGAATTAAAGTACTTTTAGAATGATAAAGTTATAACGGTATTTATGAAATGAAATAGTTAATTAATAATAGTTTAGAAGGGAATGCAGTAACTCATTGTGTTAATCGGAGACTTTTTTATTTGAGTTTTAAAATATAAAAACAATATAAAATTGTTTTTCTAAGTTTTTGTGTTCTGAAAAGTGGTGAAAAACTGAAAAATAATATCGAATGTCATTGTCGTAGAGGAACTTTTAGAAAAGCGTTTTAAAAATTTGTCAAACTTTTTCTCATTTATTGTTGAATCCCTTTAAAAATCTCAAAAATACTTGAATGCTCTAAAAATTTTCGTAACGCGTTTGAATTTGGCTGATAATTCTAGAAGTTCCGGAAAATTACTCTAAAATTTTCGCAATTTTTTTACACTTTTCTAGAAATTCCCACAATCTATTCGAATTTCTGTCCAATTTTTCACAAAGCCAAAAAACTATCCCTTATCTTGCAAATTTTCAAAAGTTGCTTAAGTACCTCACAAATACTGCAAATGTCATGAAAAATTTCTAAACATACTAAAAAAATTTTTTACCTGTCCACGATTCTCAGAATTCCTAAAATCCTTATAAAATTCTGGAATAATGCATAACTGCTGGCAAAAGTTGTGGAACATTTTCAAATTCATTCAAAAATACTTGAAACGCCAATTAATATCTTGAGAGTCCTAAAATGTTCATGAATTACTTGAAAAACTCTAGGATATATTCCCGGATAGCTAGAAACGATAATTTTCAATAAGATTAACAAACTTCTGTGCATCCTCTTTATAATGCTAGAAATTTCAAAGCTTCTCAAAGTTTCGGGAATTTTTGCAAAAAACGTAGAAAGTCATAAAAATTCCTCAAAATCTGAAAAGTGCGATGATCGTTCTTTGAGCTTCAAAATATTGCTAGAGAAGAATGCAAATGTTCAGAGTGACTCAAGATTCAAAAAATTAAAAATAAGAAAAATTCACGTCTTCTATTGCATTTTTATAGTTAAACATTGTGAGAATTGTGCCTCAAATTGTAAGAGAATTTTTCTGATCAGAAGTGACCTTTGTTCCCAGCCTAGATAATTCTTGGTATCTCCAGTTGATCCGCTGGCTTATGATCAAGACTTATCTTGTTTTTTCCACGGATACAGAGTGTTCTCTGATATATGCAGACTCTTCACCATTCGTTCATTTCCCCGGAGAAGAGTTACGACAGCTGTTCAAACGCTGTCCGCTGCAACTCAGTTATGTTGAATTGACAACGACCATGAAGTGCGTCATCTAGATTACTTTCTGCATTTCATCGATTATCATCATCGTCAGCTTCTTTCTATTCTTAACTTCTGTCTGCCATTGCTGCTTTCAATGATTTATCGTCTTTCTCGTCTCTTTGAATGTTCATCATCGTTAGTTGTACTTCGAAGGAAAGCTCTGGAGAACTTTTAGTATTTTCCGAAGGATTCTCCGGATCGGCAAAAATCGGAATTATTACAGAAACCTCTAAAAGAATTGGATTGAATTGAAGGAATTCAATTACATACTGCGAAGGAGTATAAATTAGTAATTGGCAGGTGGCCATTCGAAAATGAATCTATACAAAAAACGAAACAGTAAGTTTCCTCTATTTACATTGGCTGAATACAGCAGTAGTGACAAAAATGAACTTTTTAAAATGACATAGAATGCTTCGCATGTCTAAAAAGTTACCTTTCGACACAGCATAAATAAAATATTAAAAAATTGCAATAAAAAATTAACTAATTATTAACTCTATGAAATCGGAAAAAAAACTACAGCTCCCCTTCTGAACCCGCAACTTACTCGCACATTTTTATATATAGTACTCTGTTCACCTGGACATTTATTTCTCAATCAATCCTGTTTAACTGCCTAAGCAATTTTACGGTATCGCCTTCGGCTCGGCCCGCCAAACTCCACATGCTCTGTTTTCCACGGTTAGGCCGGAAATGAACTATTTTAGTTGATCTGATCCACGGTTTTCCAGAAATAAAAAAAAAATATGAAAAATGAGAAGATATTGACAATAATTTGTTAAGCAGGTTCAGCAGTCATTTTGAGTACTCATTCACGCATACTATTGGGCTAAGATTTAATTCTAACCAATCAGATATTTTACTTCAAAGTTAACTTTAAGTGTAACTGAGAGATAACCCATGGTTAACATGAAAATTTGGACTTGAAAGCCATCGGCCTGGATTGTTATACTGGTTATACTACTTAAATTCTTGGGAGATCTAATAACTCCTCTTTCTTTAGACGATAACCACGTGGTGTTCAGTGAGCGCACGCGCGCCACGTGCTTCATACTTTAACCTGTTCTTATCCCACTACCAGCACTACCATAATAAGTTTCCTCCTATACAAAGACTATCAATTAAAAAATCACAGTAACCAGGCTTAGTCCTCGACAATATTATCGCCTGAGCATTTCTAACAAGCTTCTATAAAGTGCATTGAGTCCATCAGATGCTCCATAAATCTGTTAACCAATTGCTAGGAAAAGGAGTACGTTAAAGGTAGGAGCAACTACTGCCGGCGACCAACCGGATGTACTTAAAATACAGCAGATTAATGTGAATAATCAATTTCCCCATTTCCCCATTTTTGCCACCTTCAATAACTCAATTAACGAATTTCTTCTTCCAAACAACCTCCCATACATTAAACTTCTCTGCCCCACAAAACGCACGTCCCTTCTCCTTCACTCCCCCCACTTCATGCACGTTGATAACATCATTACAATTCCGCTCAATTTCGCTTTTCAGAATTTCAGTTTGAGATCAGTAACGAGCGAGTATAGTCGATTGTAGTGTTCAAGTGTTTAGTAGTGTCGAGGAAAAGCTATCCATCTTTCAAGTGTTGATAATAGCCAGAACCGCAAGATAAGTCGTCGAACATCACTGATGCAATGATCTAACCTCTTTGAGATTAAAATATAAGGAGTGTTAAATTAAAGACGAATAAGTGTAGTCGTCTGAGACACCTGGGTTATCCAAGACAGTCACTTCTCCCTCTTCGGTCACAAACATCGTGGAACAATCTGAAAAATGGATATTGATGATTACGAATCATTGCCAACAACTTCGATCGGTGTTAACATGACCGCCGGTGCGTTTGCAGGAATTATGGAGCACTGCGTCATGTATCCATTCGACAGTGTAAAGGTAATGTACCTGGAGCAATCATTAGGAGTGGGTGTTGAGAGGAGTTTACATAACCTCATCGAGTCGGACCGAAAAATGGAAATTCATCAATTCAATTGATGATAATTTTACAGCAGAATATCGCGATTTTTTGTGCGCATTTAACTCAATGACCTCAGAGGACAATGCTGCTCATTAGTAGGAATGGCTGTAATTGAATACCTGTCTAATTAATCTTTTTTTCTTTCAAGAAAAATGTTACCTTTATTTCGTAATGAATAATTCACTATCATTTCATGAAATTGAGGAAATTATTCCATTGGTTTGCCAAACTCAATTATTTTGCCCAAAACTTTCAAGAGATATTCCTCTCGAAACATTCAAGCATCCTTAGATCAAGTACCTCCAGATATATTTTTTTGTAGAAATGTTTATTGACACGATGGTTACATAATTAGTCTTGATGAGTTCTTTCGATGAAAAATGAATTTTCTTCTCATCGCCTAATTATTCAGAAATTTACACATGAGACTTGCAAAAAAGCTCTTTATTGCGAGATCCAATGAACAAATTTATAATTGATTTCAATAGGAATTTAATTCCTTGCAATAAAGGTGACAAATTCCAAGTTGCTGAATACGAACCAGAACTACTACGATCATTACTTCTACGGGAACGATTAAAAAAAATGATTTCAAGAGATGTACCTACTTTTGCTGGTAAAGATTCGTGAGATTTCCATTAAGATGCGCCAATACTTACAAATTTAATTTCAGTTATTGTGCGATTGATAATTCAGGGATGATTTTCTCAAAATAATCAAGCCCCATCGAAAAGGTGTGTTTTTCAGTATTTACATTACAATGCAAGTCGAATCTCTAATAACATAATGCATGTCGGATTAATTCTATTTGACGTTATCAATATTCGAGTGTGTTTGTCTCGAAAATGTTGTATGACAAGGTGTGGTAATTTCTGTTATCACGGTGTTATAAGCGTGAGAAAAAGTCTTGTGAAAGTCACTCAATCGTTGTACGTGTTCAATTCGGAGTTTTTCATTCGTAAATTTCGACTTGGTTCTTCTACTATTTTAATTCAATATCTCATTCATAACTTTTATGAGTTATTATACAACCAAATAGTAAACAATAAAACAGTAATTGAGATATTTTATGAGAATTGCAGAATGTGAAATTGAATTTATGTATAAAGTTGAAGCTTTTTTGGAATTGAAAAAAAAAATGTAATACGTACAGAATCTGAGTCTTTTTCTTCCTTGTAGCGATGACGCTGTCATAACGCATGCATTGAATATGGGCATTACAGACTCCTCTGCATAGATATTTAACAATTTGTAATAAGCGTCTAATTAGTTTTATTCAACTGCATATTGTCGAAGTCTTCCCGAAAAGAAACATCGATGCTTGGTTTTCAATGTTCCTGTTATTATGTAATCGCAAGCGCTAGTGCAACTCGTTCTATTTATGCATTTCGTGGTATACTATGTTACATTTTCAGTGGAGAGAAGAGGAAAAAAGAATTGTGTACAACGCAATGATGATTAAAGTATGTCATTAATGTATTTTTTTAAGGCACACTCATTTCATTCGATGACTTCTATTCATGACGTAGATGTAGATTTTTTGCGTGTCATGATGATGAAGAATGAATTCGAAGTTACAATGCCAATTTAACGGCGGGATTCATTTGAATTGTTGTGGAGATATGTGGGAAATGATACAGCATTTGATTTGACAATTTGACAGCATTTGATACTCAAAAATGGCTTTTGATACTTTCAGTAATTCTACTAAAATGGATGGTGTGAAGACATTGTTTCAAAGCAAGGAGTCATTCGTTGTAATGTATTTTTTTCTCATGTCACACCTCCATTTGGATTTTTTCTGATTAAATTTGTTTGGCTTACATATTGAAATTCCAATTTATAAATATTACCATGTTATAATTATTTAATACTATTAATCTGAAAAATTTGCCGGCCTACTAAAAAAAGCCGTCAAGGTTATTCATAAGCTTATTGAAATAGTGACATTTCTATCAAATTTTTTCCCATAAATTTTTATTGAGTAATTCTGATTCCTGCAAAAATATCAAATATAAATTTTTGCACGACACACAAATTTTTAATAGAAAAAGTTCCATGATGTTCTTCATGATAAGGTGTGGACATAATTTTTCATGGCGTGGGGCATAAAAACACAATTTTCGTGGCGCGTGTAGATAATAAATGAATGTCTTCATGTCCCGCGATGCACAAATAATTTAAAATACGCACTTTACGACTGGTTACATTTGACAGTCTCCTTTGATTTTTATGCTATTATTGACTGTCAAATGTATTATTTTCCCCTATAATTGTGGCTGGTAAACTGCGCATTCTTAATTATTTTTCTGTAAACTTGGCAGATCCATTTGAAACAATATTTTAGTCTGCCAACCTTCAACAATTTTTGTTCTTTTTCATCATAATTTTTTTATAACCATTGAAGCTATTTCCGTAACAGAATTTGAATCCTTAATTTATAAATATTTGACAGTCGCAAGATAAAATTCAAATCACAGATTACATTTGATATGGAAGACTTTTCTTTATTTATTTGTAACCCATCACCTTCTCAAACGGATCATTCTGATGAACTTCTCTTAACTCCCTTCTGGTCAAGATATTCTCACAATAAACTTTACTAATAAGGTTTTCAGTTTTTGTAGCTGATTGTATACCTTAATCATCGACATTTTGAATTGTATAGACTCGGATGCAGGCGTTGAGACCGGAACCAGGTGGGGGTGGCAGTATTCGTGCTGTGATGTCCCGAATGGTACAGCAAGAGGGGCTTCTAAGACCGATTCGTGGCATGAGTGCTATGGTGGCCGGCGCTGGACCTGCACATGCACTCTATTTCTCTTGTTATGAGTTCTTGAAAAATCGTATGGTATCAAAAACGACCTCGCAGTTCAATCACCTAGTCTACGGAGCCGCTGGATGTGTTGCCACGATATTACATGATGGCGTAATGAATCCAGCTGAAGGTAAAATTCGTTTGGTGAATTAGAGGCAATTCATGCGATCAAGGAATACTTTGGGTACATAATACAATAATAGACATTTAAATGTCACAATATTTGTTGACGCTCATAATTTTTTTGGTGTTATTATAATTTAATTAATAATTCCTAATGGAGAAAATTTGATCACATCATAGGATATTTAACCGTACAATCTAATTCAAAGTAGAATGACAAAAATATCAAGAGAATTCCGCAATTTTCGTCTAACATGTGTTGCTGAAACGAACCTAATTTTATTCGCCATCATTGAAGTATTTCATACCACTGTTCAGTTTCAAAAAATTAATTGAATTTTAATTAATATCGACGACGGTCAGCAGTACTTCCATGCAAGAAAAAAAATGATTTACCTTCACGAATACGTTAGCATCCGATCAGAGATGAAATTTGCAAAAGGTGTTGCGTACATACAGACATACAAACGAACCGACCGGCGCTGTTTCGAGATTGCCCTGTCGCACTTTTGGCACAAGATTGGTCGTTATAGCACAAAAAAAAACAAAATTCAAATTTCAATGATTGCTATGCTTCCACTCGGAAGTAAAAAACATTATCACGAATTTATATTTCAAAAAACTTTGGGTGCCATTCAACAATCTGTTGTTAAAGAGAGTTACTCGTTACTGAGAACATTAATATCAGAACCCTCTTGATTCTATTAAAATATAATGGGAAAAGCTCCATTTGTGGTTAACTTACAGTATATCGCTCAAGCGTCTTAGCGAAAATAACATTGCGTTTCAATTTATCAAATACCATTATGAGCTTTTCATATTTCAAAGTTACTTATTCATAAGGTACTAATTCATATGAGTTACAATTACTATATACAAATTCGAAAATACAATTATTCACGTGCTTTAATGAGTTTCTAATTCTGTACATATTTCCTTTCGGTCTATTTCGCGATTATTCTGATATTTTTGTGCGCTTTTCAGTGGTTAAGCAACGACTACAGATGTACAATTCCCCCTACAGAAACGTCTTAGACTGTGTACGACACATTTATAGAACAGAGGGTATATTTGCATTCTACAGGAGCTATACGACACAATTGGCAATGAATGTGCCATTCCAGAGCTTGCACTTCATTGCTTATGAATTTGGGCAGTCAATAATGAATCCACAGCATGCCTACAATCCTCAAGCACACATACTAGCAGGTAATACAAAAATATATCCACTACTTAAATTGTGCATGAAACGTGTAATGTTAAACACTGATTCGATATCTTTATTTATAAAGCAATTATGTGGAGGATGAAGGGTTTGAAGAGAAATGGAATGAAACATTTGATGATATTTTATTGCTTCATCGTTAATGTTACATTAATTCAGTACAAATCAAACTAAAATTGATTTTTTGCTGGGTGTATAATGAATTCCAGGAGCCATGGCTGGAGCGGTAGCTGCTGCTTGCACAACCCCTCTAGACGTATGCAAAACTATCCTCAATACTCAACAGGTTGATGTACAAGTCCAGGGGATGGTACACGCTTTTAAGCTAGTGTACAGGTTTGGAGGAGTTCCGGGCTACTTCCGGGGTCTTAAAGCCAGGATTATCTATCAAACACCAGCCACTGCTATTTGCTGGTCTACGTAAGTCATCTGCTATAACAATTTTTAACTATCCGTCATGCGTAGTCATTATCCAGATTAAACAAAAAGAGGACTAATTGATTTTTTTTCCTTTTCCTTAAGGTTGTTGTCGCGCAGAATTTTTTTTCGACAGTTTTCGTTTAAACCTTTATGGTGAATAGGTTGAAAAAATAGCTCCAAAATGAGCCCTTTCCGTT